TATTTTTGTTGTGGAGTTCTAAATCTTTTTCTTGTTTATTCTTGGGGTTTTGAATATTCTCTTCTTTTTCTAGTTCTATTGGATTGGGTCCTATTGTTCTTCCAAAAAATACTTCTACTAGCTTACGTTTAGTTGTAGAGTGAATGGAATAATTGTATTTAAATAAAGATCTTTTTAAAAGGTGTTCAAAATCAGAATGGGTATTTTCTGCTTTTATACATCGTAATATTTCAGAGAATGTTGAGTGGAATCGTTCTATTTGACCATTTATTGAACTTTTGTATGGTGGGGTTTTAAATATTTCTATACCGTATTGATTTTCTACCATGAAAGCTATAGGAGTTGAGCTTAAGGATTTTTCATTATCTATTACAATTTTTTCTGGGATTCCAAATATTGTCAAGAGATCTCTTAAAGGGGTTTTTATATCTTCGGAAGCTCTGGAAGGTACAATTTTTGCTTGAGCGTATTTTGAAAATTTATCTATTGCGGTTAACACTATTTTATTACTCGTAAAGTAAAGATCTATGTGAACGATATGACCTGGATAACTGGGAATGGGCGTTGCTTTTAGAATTGGTTTTATCGGGTGTCTTTCGTATTTATTTTCTAGGCAAATTTTACGTTGTTTAGCGATTCTTTTTATTTTGGCGCTCATTTGCGGGAAATAACATCTTTCCAAAAGTTGTGTTTTATTTTCTGTAGGATTACGATGAGCTCTATTATGTTCATTAATAATTTCGGTTTCTTGGTCAGACTTACTTAAAATGTCTTTTATGAATTTTCGGGTATAACGTACCTTGTAATTACTAAAATGAACTTGATAAATGGTTTGGATTTTTCCTAAAATGCTGTCTTCAGTTTTTACTCAATTCGTTACGGATGGATTGAGATATCTTTTTAAAAGTATGGTAAGACTTTCTTCTGTAAAATCTGGTTCGACTATTGTAGGTCTATGATAGGTAGGAAAAATTATTTGGAATTGATATGATGAAGTTTCTCCTAAGCAAATGAAAATTTAGTTCTTAAAAGCGTTAATTGGTGCGTCGATGTAAGGTATCAATGTCTGTGCGGAACTTTCATCGCTATGCGGTGTTGCTGTCATAGAGTTTATTTGTTGAGGTGGTCTAGATAATGCATCCGCTACAACGTTTGTGCTACCAGGTTTGTATTTAATTTCGTAATTAATTCTTCTAGTATTGATTTCCATTTCTTTAATTTACTATTGGCATTTCTATTGCTAAGTGCGTAAGAAAAAGGTTGATGGTCTGTGAAGATTTTTACACTGCTTGGACCAAAAAGATAATTTTTAAAGGTTTTTAAAGCCCATACGATGGCTATTCTTTTTCGTTTGTAGCATAGTTTTCTTCTGCCTTTGTCAGTGTCCTTGAGATAAATGTTATCGGGCTATTGTTTTGTTCCAGTACTGCTCCTATTGCGTAATCTGAAGCGTCTGTAGTTAAATGAAATTCTTTTTCGAAGTCAGGATATTGTAGCATAACATCAGCGGAAATGAGAGAGTTTGTTAATTTATTGAATGTATTAATGGCGTCTTGATTAAGAGTGATTTTGATTTTGGATGAAAGATTTTTGGGAAATTTTCCCTCCTCCCCTCTTAAAAGTATTGTTAAGGGTTTGGCAAGTTTTGCATAGTCTTTTATAAATCGACGATAATATCGGAAAGTCCTAAGAATGATCTAAGCTCTTTTATGGTTTGCGGTAGTGGAAATTCTAAAATGGATTTGACTTTTGAAGGGTTTGTCTTTAGTCCGTTTTGAGAAATGATGAATCCTAGAAACCCTACTTCTTTTTTTAAGAATTCACATTTGTCAATTTGGATTTTCGTATAACCTTTTTCTAAAGTGTGGAAAATTGTATTAATATTTTCTAAATATGATTTTTCATCTTGGCCGAAAAATGAGAATGTCGTCTATATAGGCAAAGCATATTTTTCCGATATACTCTCTGAATATGTCATCTAATGCTCTTTGAAAAATTGATGGGGCGATTTTTAAGCCAAAGGGTAATCTAGTAAATTCGTATTTACCATTATTAACTGAAAATGCTGTCTTTGCAACGTCAGATTCGACTAATGGAATCTGGTGAAAGCCACTTTTTAAGTCAAGAACTGTAATGAATTTGTTTTTGCCTAATTGCGAAAGAACTTCGTTTATTTCTGGGATAGGATAACGATCGGCTATCGTAATTGAATTTAATTTACAGTAATGTGATGATTTTTTATCCAGATTGGAGAATTATACGGGAATCGACGTCTTATTATACCGTTATCGAGTAATTTTACTATTTGTTTTTCCACTTCGTCTTTGAGTGACATGGGATATGGGTAGTATATAGAATGTATTAGGTCTTGTGAGGTAGTTCTTATTTCGGCTTTTACTACGGTGGTGTTTGTTAGCTTTTCCCCTGGTTCGGAAAAAAAATTTGGGAATATAATGCATAAATTGCGAAGTTTTTCTGACTGTTCGGATGTAAGGTGGTCTGTTCTAATTTCGATATTTTTGACTGATTTGGTTGTTTGTTGTTTGATTGCAATTTCAATTTTATATTTTATTACCATGTAATTTCTTGAGGTAAAAATTATTGTGTCTAATTGTTTCAAACTGTCATACCGAGTATTCCATGGAAGGATTTTAGTGTCGGAAGAATAAAAAATTTTAGTTTTTCGTCTCTGAGTCCAAAAAGATTGATAAAGGTATGGTGGGTTATTTTTATATTTCCACCTACTGAGTTGGCTTAAAAAATTTCGTTATTGGGAATAGGATTATTAATAAGTTGTGGTTGAATATAATTTTTATTTGACCCTGTATCTATTAGGAATTTAAAAATTTCTCCGTTACTATCTTTGCACTGAAAGTAGGGCAAAGTAGCATTCGTTAGCCTAAAAAATGGGTATCTGAAAATTCTATTGTCTGTCACGTCGTCTTGAGAAGAATATTCGTTATAATAATCTTCCCATGATTGTTCTGTATAATCTTCATTCATTTGTTATTGAGTGTCGCTTAAAGTATAGTGTGCGGGTTCTACGTGATTAATCCTGTGTTGTTTAAAAGGTTGGTGTATTTGATTTGATGGTGGAATAGGTCGTTTTTGTTCGGTCTGTTTATGTAATTAATATTTCAAGTTTTTGGGATTCGTCTATTTCCATCGGAATTGGTGGTTTCGGTTGCGTAGGTCGTGGCGGTGGATAATTAAATTGATTAGGCATTGGTAATTGTCTCGAAGGATAAGCAGACATGTTTTTGTATTGGGTATTGACAAAATTACTTTGATATTGAGGATATTGGGGGTTTTGGTATTGCATATTTCTGAATGCTGCTGGTTGTACTAAATTCTGTACGCGATGGATTGGTTGGGGAATGTATGCAAGATTCGGATAAAAAGGTTGCTTTTGATATTGTTGTTTCCTTGATGGAAGTGGGGGTGGTATTGGTTTTCGTGATATATGGTTGGTTGTTGAAAGCGTGGTGAATCGCGACTTTTAGGGTTTAGTATTTTATTGGCTGTACAAGCCTTTGTTTTATTTTATAATTCTTATTATCAATCTCTGGAGGGACCCGCCAAACCTTTGTGTAATTTGGATAATTTATTTAAATTTTTTTTATTAAATATCTTAAATCTACACTTTTTTATCCGTTTTAATTGTCTTTCTTCTTTAATTTTTTCCTTTTTTATTTCTAAAAACATATTTTCTTTTCTTAGATATCTTTGTTTTTCTTTTGTTATCTCCAATTTCTTTTTCACTTCTTCACTTTTAACAACGACTTTTCTTTAAATTTAATTATTTTTAAGATATCTTAACTCTATGCTTACGTATTAATCCCACGGCGCATATTGAATACTCCTGGTTGCTGCTCGCTACTAAGGTTCTTTATCACGCACTCTTCGTGGGTGCGGGTCTTCTCCCACCGAAGCTATCCCTTGTGGTGTCCAAATCTGTATCGCTATCCTGGTGGTGCTTCTTGAGGACCTTTAAACTCTTCTTGAGGGTTATTTTTTATGGATTTGGGAACGCGATTGGCACGTTGGGCGCCAGTTATACTTTTTTAATATTAATTTACATAAAAACATATTTTTTTACGCGCGCGGACACGCGAGTTTATTGAGTCACAACTTTAGACTGATTACAATAATTTTTTAAACTTAAAATTAAACCTAAGTCACATTGCCGCTGTCCTCAAAGGTGTTGTTGACTTAGCATTTGCATAGATGCTCGTGTGGTGTCATTTGACGGTTACCCGTGGGATACTGCTTACTGTGCAAGTCTCACCTGAAGCTTTAGTTATTGGCAATAATGCTTTGTAAGTCAATTCCAGCCTGTGTGGCGTTAACTTATATGTGTATGTATGTAGCTATGCATGTACATATATTTTTTTTGTTTGGGCTTTATTGTTATAATAACTTAAATTAACCGCATGTGTTTTTGGTAAATATATGTATTTATTATTGTGCCCCGGGCTTTGGTTTTTATCACAGCACTATAACCTTTTCGTTAAGTTATATATTTATGTTTATGTTTATTTTGTTTGGTTCACTGCACTGTGTATATATGACTCTGTATTTTATTTATTTTTTGTTTATAAAGTTTTTTCACTACATAGTGCCTCTCACTATGGCTCGAAGGACCATGATTAATGTACTCGGTTGCACTCACCGTTTATATGCGTTTATTGCAAGCACAAAAAATAAAAATAGATTTTACGGCGGTATCCGCTTTGTTTATTGGGAAAAAAATATATATATTGTATATATATATAAAAGTTAAAATTCCACTTAGGGTACTCGGGCGAAGCGATGCTGCGGTCGGCGTGGTCTTAACGGCTCGAAAAGCGAAAAAAAGAAGGGATTTTAGTCTTGTGTTAGGCCCTATTAAGTGTTGGATTGTGTAGAGTTGTGGTGTGATGTGATGTGTATGTAGGTGGTCTGCGTGGTGTGATGTCTGCAGGGATGGTGTGTGTTAGTGAGTGGAGTCTTCTTGTGGATTGTGTTGATGTGGTGTTGGCGCTCAGTGGCGTGTATGGAAGGGAGAGGCGTAACTCATTTAGCCACGTATTTTTTCCCCATTTATTAGATGGAATCAAGGTGCTTTTTCTTAATTTTTTTTAATTTCCTTGATAGTTATAGGAGAAATGCTGACGTGTGGATGCAACCACATATTTATATTACTTTATCGCCTGAATAAAGATGCATTTGTTATAGTGTTGAATTACGTTTATTATGTTTTGTCAATGCTCTTCAAATATATGGATTTTTCCCACTCAATAATTACGGCATTTTGTCTTCATCTTTTTTTCCCTATAGAAATGGAGGAACGTTATTATTTTATGACAATAAAATAAACGAATTTCTTAACTTACATTTCAAATATGTTAGCGACTATCTTCTTGCTTTATTTCTGATAATAAAACCTATAAAATTGGTTTCAGTGTTACCTAAAACCGATAGAATTTCTGTTTCGAACATCACACCAATAATATATGAATTCCTGACACCTATTACATTTATTCTAATTTGTGTTAATCTCAGTTATGAGAGCAGATTTCCTATTTTGCCTTTATTATGAAGAACTTTTCTCCCACTTAGATTCCCACGAATATCCGGTGTACTCTTCCACGCAGCATTTTTATTTTTTTATGAATGTTTCAACGTCACGATCCAAGACAGCACCGGTCGACTTTAGCCATTATGGTTTAAAAGTTGTACCAATCAGTTATTCGATAATGTGGCCATATCGGTCGAATTTATTGGGTTTTCATATAGATTTAAAAACACTGGCGAATGGTCGGAATTACATTTAAGCTATCTTAAATGGCCAAAATCTACAAAAAAGTTGAAGTTAAATAATACTTCAAACAGGGGTTTTTATTGATGGAATAGTTGATATCTGATTTAAAAGAAATATATGTACATACTATATATTTTTAGCAGCCTGCATATAGGTACACACAATGATGTAAGTAACAGTATTGTAGTATTGCTGTAATTATTGAGCAGCCCTTTGCTTTTTGCTGATGATTTTAATGAAACTGTTGTTTATAAATTTGCTATGGAATTTTCCTTATATTATAAATGTTAATTTCTATAACAATATTTTTAATATATACAATTTATTTGTATATGTGTGTATATTATATTTGAACTAGTTAATAATATAACATTGTAAGCATATATTTAAATAATTTAATTTGAATAGGCTTGTCACAGTTTTTATATATGTATATTTAATTAAACAACTATTGGCGGAAATGATTATTACTTCTAGTGGATTTTTAACCACAATTCAAATCTTACTGTAGTATTATTTAAATATTTCTTATTGATTTCCATCGACGCAATAACAAGCAAGCAGAAGTTAGACCACTTGAGTATTGTCCAAATTCGCTAATATTTATATTTCGGCTTGGTGTGTCTATCTTTTCTTTAATAACCTGCAATTTATGTATATAATATGTACATATACAGCAGTTAAATTTCGTAAATATTTTTTGTTATACCTTATAAGAAGCAGGAATTTCCTCGGGTGATCGATGTATAAGAAAGCCGTTAACATATATCATATTGGCAGCATATTCCTCAGGCAAAGTAATTTTTTGATACTTATAACTTGCTTCTCGTTCCATCCGTTTAACAATTTCCTGGCAGTAGATACTTGTACTTACAGATAATACATCTGGACCAGCCATTGTAACATAATGTTTAAGACGTTTATTCCCACTAACCTAAAACATTAATCCATTTCTGGTAATAAATATGAGGTGCACATTCTAAACTAGCTTTCAACATTGCGGTCACCCTACAAACCTTGATAGGCGTTACAGGATACTCAGGAAAGGCAACTGCAACAGATTTTGCGCCATCTTCGTTTGTATAGTTGGATATGCCCACAAAGAATTCACGACCTATCAAAAAAGTATATCTATATATATGTATTGATTACAAGTGTATCAGCAAAACGGTTAAATTAAAAACTATTAAAACTGCGATAATTCACAAAATAAGTACGTAAAAAGCATTAATTTTCACATCCTATATAATATAGAATGGTATCATAGGTGCCAATGACAAAATTGGACAATAGGTGTGCCGCCGCCCACCTTCAGATGAAATTCTATATCCCAATAACTACTCAAACATTTTGAACCAAATTTGGTACACTACATTATTCCGACGTTCTTATGCTACAATGTGAATTGGCGAAATCGGACTCCAACCACACATATTTCCCATAAACCGATAGTCAATGACGTTATCGAAAGCAAACTTTGCACAAATCACAAGTGATCTTAAGGTATTACATCTCACGTCTACAAATGGTAGAAATCGGAACTTATTTCTTCAAGGCCCAGATACCGAAAATGTGACCCCAGTTCTTATGACTAAGTTTTTACTGAAAATATCGGCCAACCCGTGATCTCTTGAAATTAGCAAATAATCCTTTTATGATAACAGCGTGTCCTTCTGCCTCAAATGGGTAAAATTGGGTATAAAATATTTGGTTACACCAGATCTTAGCCCTTCCTTACATTTTGTATACTAGTTTTATCGGAATAGTAATGTCCAAGTTAATATAATAGTTAGTAATTATTACATATTTGTAAATTTCCAACACATAATATATATTGAATAACAAGCAGAGACGAGCAAAGTGCACGGAGTATTTTGTTTTTTTTTACATTTAACAGTATGATTTCATTGAAAGCCCCCCAAAAAAACATAAAACAAACTTTACTCTGAAATTAATAGACGTACGATTAAAAATTACTTAAAAATTTCACAACGTTGAATTTTCGTTTTGCTGAAAAGATGATATTTGCACAGCTATCACTCGCTCTAATTTTTGTTATGATTGTTGTTTAATATTATCTTAGTGTTTCACAACATATGCGACTAATTTATGGATGATTTTGAATATCTTACCCGTAAATAAAACATCTCCCCCGTCCAATATAGCATTAGGGATGTTAGGGTTAACCACAGGGATATCAAGCTCTTTCTTCAGAATGATTTCCATACTGTCCGCCTGTTCTCGAAAATTATTTAATTACTTTTTAACCATTTATTATAATACTGACCTCTCTTTGTCGCAATAAATTGTCCGATTTACTTATTAAAGCTACTCCATTGCATATTATTGCCGCATTTTCTACAAAAACACCCTCCGGTAACGTTTCATCTGGCGGCAACTCAATGACGTCCAAGCCAATATCTCGCAACAATGAGCAGAAATTTTGATGCTGTTGTTTTGCCTTAGCATAGTCAAATTCACCTTTCTTCTTTATTGAGTCTGAAATTCTAAGATACAATTCATTAATCACACCCACTCAATGATTTATCAGTAACAAATACTTTCAACGATCAGAAATACACCTATGTTCGTTGGAAAAATAGCAAAGTACATATGTATGTTTCTTATTAGCATGTTGACGAAAGTTGTATCTTCAGATTGAACAAATCTAATTTCACAAAATTTAGTAGCAGCGCCACTGAGGAAAAATGTTTACAAATTGTTAGATTTTTTTCCGCGGAGAATCAGAATTTGAAAATTAAAATAAAAACTTACTGCCCGATATATTTTAAAATTTTAAATATATTTTTATAAGTAATGGATGAAGATATACAAATTATTAAAATTTTAGAGCTTTTCGCTATTACCCAAAATACTAAAACAAACCAGTCCTTGCACTACAAGGTTCAAAGCAGGGAAAATACCTTCAGGTGTTAGAAAAGCTTTATATAAAAAAAATGTTGCGAAACAATTCAACATTCATTATTCAGTAAGTGGATTATAATCAAATTTGTTATAGTATTGGTTATAGATTCACTTTGTTTTATTACTATATTTTACCTCGCGTCAGCTAAATTGTATTAAAATCATCTTCAAATGAGATACATATGATATAAACTCAACTAAAGAAGCTAAATTTAATATAATGAGTTGATGGGAATTATTCAACCAGAGGTTCGCGATTCGTTATTTTAGGGATATAAAGTTTGGACCAAAGTCTAGACCGATTTCATATTCCTACACAATTTTTAAGAAAACTTGTTTATTTAAATTAATAAAGATATCACACATTTTGTCAGGTGGAAAGTCGGAAGTCACACATTGACCGACATGGCATAAGGATTGTTAGAATTACAAAAATCAATATATGTATGCAGTAAACTATAGTACAAGTACCATTCAAAAGTTTCAGGACTTTTTAAACAACGCGGCTTCTAGTGGCGTCATCTGTCTGAAATTGTTATCCCTCAATTGTGTATTCTTCAGTGTTGTCGTATAAAATTTATATAACAGCTGAGATATCGCGCTACATGTGACATTACATTTGTAGTGTCGGTCGGAAAATGAGCATCGAACAAAGAGCCAACATTAAGTTTAAACTTGGTAAAACTTTTACCAAAACTCATCAAATGGTGAAACAAGTTTATGGCGATGATTGTCTATCCCGTAGCCGTATTCACGTTTTCAAGAGGGACGGGAGGACTTGGAAGACGACGAACGTTCGGGTCGGCCAAGAGATGTTGTGAACGAAAAAAACACGGAAATTGTGCGTGAATTAATTAAAAAATAGCCCAAATCATCGCTTATATATATGGAATCGGAATTATCAATATCCACAGCATCGATTTATCGTATTTTGACAGAGAATTTGGGCCTCAGAAAGGTTTGTGCTCGATTTGTCCCGCACACTTTGAAACAACATGAAAAATACCTCAGAATTCAACATTCAAGAGACAAAAATCGCATTCATATCATCAACCATTCACCCTATTCGCCTGATATGGCACCCTGCGACTTTTATTTGTTCGGAAAATTACATTTGGCCATGAAAAGAAAGCGCTATGCTGACGTTGATGCCATCCAAAAGGCGACGACCGCCATCCTCAACGCTATACCGACAAATGACCTAAAAAAGTCATTCGATAACCTTCTTGAAGGTGCAAAACGTTGTATTCAGGCGGAAGGAGACTATTTTGAAGGCGACCAATAAATTTTTCAAAAAAAAAAAACAAATAATATTCGTTTTTTAATAAAAGTCCTGAAACTTTTGAATTGCACCTTGTATATCCAATATTATACGTTAAACTATAGTATATCCTATATTATACGTTCAGTTAATTTTGCTAAGATGTCTTACATATTGACCGCTATATACGGTATAAGGCCAACCGGAAGTTTGAAAATATTTTATTAGGTATATGGGAGATGGGTGTATTATTGACCCAATTTTATCTTATTTTGCATAAAGGCATTTTTCATTAAGGTACCTCACATATGTACATACCATCAACAATATATAAGGAATAAAGTCAACCTAATATTAGTTATAAGAGGGCTAGGGCAAGTTTTCACCCAATTTTATCAATGTTAAGCACACGGATGCACTGTTAGGAGAAAAACACGCTCACTCATTTTAATTCGTAAATTTTTCTATTAGGTATCTGAGGACTTTCATACAGGATTCAGAAGGATTCGCTCTGAATTTCTATAATAACGGGTGATCCAAATAGCGGTACTTTTTTCAATAGCCTTTTTTTTTGACAGATCCCGCGTGAGTCGAGTCAAGATGTCATGTTATTTTTGTTCAGTATTCTTTGTCATTTCATCATGGAAAGACTTACGCCAGAAAAAGTTTACAAATCGTTACCTTTTATTACGAAAAATTTACGTTCTGAAAAACGTATTTCGCTCAACTATAGTCACATAATCGGCCTACAGAGCGCCACTATTGGATAATCTTCGGCCTAATAGCCTCGTCCAGCACGCAGTGAAGAAAATATAGCGGCAGTAGATGAGAGTGTACACGAAGAACGTGGAGTCGACTTCCACCGACAACGCTTCGCTTATGAGTTCCAAGAAGATTCGACGTTTCGAGCCAAGTTTTGTCAGCGATGAAGCCCTTTCTGGCTCATGGGTATGTAAACAAGCAAATATACCGTCATGCAGAAAAACAACGGTTTGGTGTGGTTTGTGGGCCGATGAATCATCGATCATATTCGCCTTCAAAGTGATGCTGGTGGACGCAACCATCAATGGCGACCTTTATCGTGGCATGATAACCGATTATTTGTGATGATCTCGGCGACATTCGTTTTAACAGACGGCGCCCTTCACACATCGCATCAATCAAGATTTATTGAGAGAACCTTCAGTGAGCGACAATTTTCCGTTTTGTGCCGGTCGATTGGCCACCAAGATCGTGTGATATACACCGTTAGGACTATTCCGGTGGATGTGTAAAGTCTAAAATAATTTGGACTAACCGCTTTGATTCAGGCCTTGTAGCAAACATCACGCGTGTCATTTGCCAGTTAGAGTCGAAATGCTCGATCGGGTCATCGAAATTGGACTCAAGTTCATCTGAGACGAGGCTGGCCAAACATTTGAAGAGATAATCTTCAAGATAAATGCCAAATAATGTTCTTCGAATGATAATAACCTTCCTCATTAGATATGAATTTTCTGTGTTTTTCTTTAAAAGTGAAAACTCGTTAATAATTGTTTCGGTTAGCACTCACATTGGTTCCATCTTGTTGCACCTGTTTCCTAACAAAACCAAACGGCACGGTCATGGCTGATATATAAAATATACGGCCGCAAAAGGCGAAAAGTTGCACGTCTTGATCGCTGATGCTAACGAAAAGGAAAGATTTGGTTCTCTGTTGAGTTGTGTTAGAGTTGTGGTGTGGATGTGATGTGATGTGTATGTGTGGGTGAGTCTGAGGGGTATGATGTCTCTTGTGGATCGTGTTGATGTGGTGTGTTGGCGCGTGGCGTGTATGGAGGGGAGGCGTACCACTCGCCACACCTCGAAATGGATCAACCTAGATAGCTCAAGATTGAGCGATACTTTCGATAAAACGTTCTTAAAAGCTTGAATAGCTTTGGTTCGATTTGAAAATTTGATTTTATTTATTGTGATGATTTTGTACACTGGAAGTGAAGAATCAGATGAATTTAAATTTGTGTTGACATTTGAAGTAGGCATGGTTGCTCACTGTCCATTTTGCACTGTAAACCTACCAATTTAGTTAAAATGGTCTAGTAGGTCACTAGAATGGTGTTCACCTAAATGTGAGGGTGCCACGCCTTTACAGACGTTCCAATGAAGCCTTCTTGTACCATCTCGTGTGTACAAATTTATGTCTCTGATGCAATTAGATATTTGCTTAAGTATTTTAACAAAACATTTATATGGGGAGATGGGCGAGGTTATCATCCATTTCACTAATTTCTCACGTTCGGTAGGGTGCTAAAAATATTGGCCCTTTATGAATTTGCTTAAGAGGTTACAGGTTTCGCGGCTCAAAACCAAAATATTTTTATTGTCTTTTTAATCACATAACATCTTAGAGTATTGTTCCAAATTCTCAAGTTGATATCAGGAATAGTTTTGAAGATACAGCTTTGAAAATTGCGCGTTCGAGGTCAGTTATATTGTCACTAAACTTTAAACCGTTTCTCGAAACCTGTGTTTTCAAAGTCGGTTGTCAAGATTTCTCGTGAATTACTCAACCGATCTTAATGAAATTCTATAGGTGTTTGAGAAAACAATTTACTCGTGCTTGGAGAGGATTATTTTTCAATTACTTATTTTAAAAATAAATGTCGGCAAATTTGACACAAATGTTTATTTTTTGTGGAAAAAGGTCTGTTAACTTTTTTACCGACGTAACCATTGTAACGCCCAATGGCAGTATAAAATTTTAAAAAATCATTTGGTTTGTTTTCTTGTATGTATGAAGTTATATTACCTTAAATATTCTCTGAAGAATTTCAGATTGATCTGATAAATACTTTTTTAGTTCATTTTCAAATACAAAGAGCGCATCGGAGCAAGGTAACTTCGGCTAGCTGAAAAACTTAATGTGTTTTCAAAACTATGTTTTCAGACTGGTGACTAATCAAAAGCTACAGCTAATGTTTAATGATATTACCAGCTTTTCGAATACGATAATAAAATCGGCCTGATCAGATTTTTAAAGTTACATTTTTTAAAGACCAAAAACTGTGAATTTTTTTCCAAAAATCTAAAAATAATTTCCTTTGGCCGACCATTTGTATATTTTGAAAAAACTTCCTTGATATATCTTATTGCATATATTATTTTTATCGATGAAGATTTGAGATTAATCTCAAGAACTGTGATTGTCAACGCACGGACCTTTTTTGAACATGAGGTCAACAGCACAGCTATACGACATGTAAAATTGTTTTTTTGAATTTTCGTGACTTCAAGCAAAACATTGATAATAATGCCATATATACACTTGTACATGTCATGATT